CCCCCCCCCCACTCTCTGAAAAGCAATGGAAAAAATATCCTCAGGAGAGGATAAAAATAAAATAAAGATACGAAGCTATTTCCTCTCAGAGGAGTGGCCGCAGCTGGGGCCCTAACAGTTGTGGAAGGCAGAATTGCCTTCACCCAGGCTGGGAAGTTATAGAGCCTTACAGGGCAGAGGTGAGCACCTGCCTCAGGTCCTCTGACCTTTCTCGGGCTTTCCAGGGAGGCCAGCTGGTTCTGAGGCAGAAGTTCCTGAGCGTTAATGAGCTGCAGTGTCTTCATCTGCAGTGAAAGCTGCCCAGAGGAGAAACGGAGAACCAGCTGCAAGGGCCCTTTAAATGCCTAAGCCCCACCCCTGAGCCTGCCCTGCCTGCCCTGCCAGGAAGTGATCCCCTGGGCTGGGTTCCTGAGTTTCCCGGAGTCTGGGAGTCATTGCAGTCAGCCACACTTCTGGATGTGAGTACTGCAAACGGGCCCCCAAACCCCGAATCAGTGATGGGGCCTTGTGTCCCTCAAGGCTCTCTCTAGACCTGTCCTCCTCCTAGGGCCTTCCTTCTGCTCAGTCAGGTGAGACCTTTCTGAAGCAGAGTAGGGAGAAGGTGGGTGGAGGCTCGGCCTATAGAGATTTTGCTTTCCTTGCTGGAGTTTTTTCTGTCTTTTTGAAGTAAAGGTAGATCAATTTGTCACCTTCCCACCTCCCTTACCTCCAAAATCTCAGGCCTCTGACTTCACCCAGATCAGTAGTAAGGACAGAGGAAGTTTAAGGGGCCCATTCACACGCTCTCCTGAAATTAGATTGGGCCCTGCTGTACTGGCCTCTCCCCGTGGGGGCCTGGGCTCTGGTCTAGCCCCTTGAGTTCTTGGGATGTGATTTGTCCCCACTGAAATCCCTCAACTTTATCAAATATTGAGGTTTTCATACTGCCCCACTCTGGGCTCTGCCAACTGTGGGCCTTGCAGCTAGTTTGAGAAGCCATTAGCAGAGCGACCTTAAGGCAGGCTTGATTCAGGAAGGTGTGGAGTTTGGTGAGCAAGGCTTTCTCTCTCTCTTGCTTTGTGGGGAAGTGGAAAACAGGAAGCTCGTTTGTACCCACCAGCGTGTGATTCTGGGGATCTTAGGTCTCAGGAGTGAAGCATGGAGGGGTGGAGGGTGGTGGTTGAGACAGATGTCCCCTGTGTTCTGCTTCCTGCCTGGGTGGACCCCTGGGTTATTGGGGAAAGGTTGGCTGTCCGGAGAGGTGGCAACTGACTCCCTGGAAATGCCTGTTTCTGCCCTTGGCACACAGGGCACCTCGCCTGCCCTGGGGTGGTGCTTTCTGGGCAGGGCAGCTCTTTAAAGCCATGAGTAGGCTGGGCAGCCACTTTGAATAGCTCAGGCCTCCTTGTTGGGCGCTGCCCTCGGGTTGCAGAAAATGCTCACCTTTGAACTGCCATTGGCAGTATTTTCTGGAGAGGACCCAGCCCCTCCCAAGTCCTTGTTCTAAGTCTTATAGACATTTGTGCCTGATAAGCCAAGCTGCCCCCTGGTTTGGAGGCTCTGCAGTCCAGGTACCTGGGGGGGAATTCTGGCTTCAGCCATTGGTCATTCTGTGATCTTGAGCAAGTTCCTTAACTTCTAGGTTCTTGTGAGGAGTAAAGGAGTTAAAGGTACTTAACACCATGCCTGAGGCAGATGAAGTTCTTAATAAGTGGGAACTGTTTTTCAGGGGTACTTGCCAATGATACAAGTTCCCAAGTCTCCTGGAAACCTCCTCAGCCCATTGAGTCTGGGGTGAGACCTGGGAGTACTACCAGCTGAGTCCTACGACTGGACAGCTTTAGAAAACATTGATCTGGATCAGGGGTTCTGAAGCTGGTTCCTGGGTCACTCCAAATCTAGGGAATCCTTGCCTTCAATGATTGGCATTAATTGGCAGCATGCCGGAGGGCGGATGGAGGTAGACAACAGGCACCCTGAGCTGGCAGAGCTGCTCCTCCTCCCACAAAGTGGCCCAGTTGGGCTGGAGCTCAGATAAGACTTTTCTAGGAAGAAAAGGTCCTAAAATTCTGCTTCCAAATGATTGGTGTGAGACAAATCCTCAAGAATTTTTACTATAGTCCCCTAAAGCTATAGGATGTCTGAAAGCTGAAGGATGTCTAGGAGGAGGAAGAACAAAGATGAGCTCAGCTTACAGACAGCTGTTCAAGGGCAGGGAATTTCATTTCTTCTCCCCCACCCCCTAAAGCAGAAAATCATTTCCCTAAGCCAGGAAGCTGTCTGGTGAAAACAGCCTCTCTGTAGTGCTTGAGTGTGTGACTCTCATTCTCCCAACAAAGACTAGAACGTTTAAAACCATTGACAGGGCCCAATCTGGTTTGGCTCAGTGGTTAGGACATCAGCCTGCGGACTGAAGGGTCCTGGGTTCGATTCCTGTGTAAGGGTGCGAACCTGGGTTGCAGGCTCGATCCCCTGCCCCAGTCAAGGTACGTGCGGGAGGCAACCAATTGATGTGCCTCTCTCACATCGCTATTTCTCTCTCTCCCACTGTCTCTTAAAAGCAACGGAAAAAATATCCTCTGGTTAGAATTTAAAAAAAAAATCAGGGGAAACTGGGAAGATGAGCACCTGTTTGAGCTGCACTTCAAGTGCATTTTTCTAAACCTAAGCTTGATAGAGGTGACGGTGGCAAGGCTGAGTCATCAACCTCACCTCTAACTGCAGGCCTGACTGGACAAAGAGCCAAGGGCTTGGGTCAAGGGGGCTTGTGTTGGCTAGGGGGCTGCTTGGCCCTGGCGGTGAGGGGGCTGGGGGAGAAGAAATGAAATTCCCTGCCCTTGAACAGCCATCTGTAAGCTGAGCTCATCTTCATTCTTCCTCCTCCTAGACATCCTTCAAGTATCTAAACCCTCTAAAATTCACAAATCTCCAGTATCTAAACCTAGGACACAGTCACTTTTATTCCCGCTTTGAAGTCTAGAAGAGTAAGGCTCAGAAACTAGCAAGTGGCTCAAGATCATGCCGACAGTGACAGAACTCAATTCTTGCTATAGGAGTCAGGAGAGAGCTTTTAAAATATAGCCCCCACCCCAGACTAATTAAATCAGAATCCCCAGAGATGGATGGTTTCAAAAGATCTCCAGGTGATTCTAATGTATAGCCAGGGCTGAGAGCGGCTGCTTGAGACCAGAGCTGCTCATGGGGTTTAGTTAAGGTGCCAATGAATTCAGCAGCTCTCCGGTGGGGCCCAAGATTCTGCATTTCAAGCTTCCAGGTGAGGCTGCTGCTGCTGCTCACTGCACACCAAGACAGAGTGGCTGGTAACGCAGGCATCCGTTCTTTAAGATTCACTGTCAGGCACTCGCAGTTGACCCTGAAGATCTCTGCTATGTAGTGACTCGTCACTCATTAATTAAATTTAGCTGTAGCATAAGTTTATGTTTGAGCTGAGACACAGGTGAAAGCTGTCTTAACTAGAGGATGAACCCAGCTTTTACAGGCTTTGTTCTCTGCTCATCCATCCATTACCCCTTGGGGGGGGGTGCATGCAGGGAGCTGCCGGTCTCAGACTTTGGGTGAAAGCTGACTGGTTCTTACAGGAGCCTCATGACACTTGAGGGACATGTGGTCAGGCAAGTTTTGCCATGTATCCAGAGAGCAGACTAGGGCAGAGCTCAGAAGCAGGCACTAAAGGGAGGTCTGGATGGAGCTGAGGCCAAACCTAAGTCAGGGCAGGACCTTCCAAAGGTCAGCAGACTTCTTAACCATTGTCTTTTGAGGGCCCTGACCTACTAGAAGTAAAACGCTCTAGCTGTACATGTCATCTGGTAAACCACAAAAGTCTAAATCTGAAACTTGTCCTAAACATCCTGCCTGAGTCAAATGGTTTCTCTGGATCCCCTGAGAGGCCCTACATTGAAACTCACTTCTGCAGATGGCGAGTGAAAAGGCAAAGTCTGTTCTTGTGTAAACTTGGCAGATGGTCATAGTCAGGGAGGTCAAGACTAAGTCCTGTTATTGAAACAAGGATAGTTGGCAAGGGCTGGGCTTCAGAACAAGGCAGGCGCCCAGTTTGATCACTTGAAAGGATGATTCTCAGCTGAGTCATTGAACTGGGCCAGGCTCAGCCCCGCTGACTGAGCCCAGCTGGGGTGACAGATGGTGGAGAGGCCTCAGCCTTGG